GATTGGCTTCACCTAACTTAGTGCTGCCAGTAAAATGGAGACCAAGTCTCTACCTCTTAGACAGCATTCATTCAAGCCTGGACATTACCTGTTTCAACATTTATTCTCATAGAGTTTGATTCTCATGTTATTTCCCTTTGCCCCYAATTTGACATTATTTCAAGTTGGAGTTACCTGTTCAAGTATTTCTCCAATGCAGTAAAGACCCTGCTTCATATATTCTCTCTTTAAGAAGATTAAAAGATCTACTTGTATAGCATTATGTTTTAGTAGAAAATAAGGCAGTATTGAGTGACAATATTTATCAGTTTTAGGTATATTTTCATAGTAATTATTACTTTGTGATTGAAAATAACATAAGGAGAGAGAGAAGAGAGAATGCACAGGTGCATGGATGCACATTTTGAAGTATTTCACAGAACAGGAAGAACTTTCAGGATACATGCCGTGAAACCCTTTTGTGAGTACATGTTTTCCCTTGTCCCTTATTTTCTATATTTAATGTTATTAGGCCACCATTAAGTCTGGACCAAGGGCATTTGTCAACAATTGAAGTCATTTTCTCTTTAGCCACAGCTGCAGTTCGAGGTTATTCATGATGACCCCATAGTTAAAGGGCTGCAATAAAGTGACCTTCACCATCCAAGAATCTATTCAAACAACTAATATACATGTTAAGTGGAAACCAGGACAGATGGCAATATCAGCCACAGAAAAGCCTTTTTTCATTATCAGAGACTGGTATTCTGTTCTAGTCTAGATGGTGCATTTGTACCAAGATATTTTCACAATACCTAAGCTTGAAGATACTGAAGAGCTCCCTGCATGGCTTTAAATTAAGATGGCAAAGAACATTTAATTTTATAAAACCTTATAATATTAAAAATATTATAATATTAATATCTTGTAATATTTTCATAGAATCAATACAGCGACTTTGCTTAACTGGAAGATAGTTATTTGTATGAGGGAGATGAAAAGAATTGTCAGTGTGACGATTCCTTCCCTCAGTTAATAGGTACTTACTAGAGACCCTCTAAGTACAGGGCACTGCATAACCTGCTGAGGATGCTGGTGAGCAAGTAGTTGTGGTATAGTAACCTACAAAACCACCAGTGAAATGACCAAAAAACAACAATTTTCTAAAAAAAAGAGGCACACACCTTTAAGGTGAAAAAGCATAGGATAGAAGACAATAATAACAAGTTATTTAAGCTGGAAGGTGGATGGAATCATGGAAACCAACTTAACAAACCTCAAGATACTGAATTCTAAACCAACAGTGGGTAAAGCCAGAAGCAATCCAGATTCCACAAAAACTTCCCAAAGGCACAGGAAATAGCCTTATGGAGTCTCTCTGGAATTACAAAATACAGGTAAGCTAAGTAACAGGAAAAAAAAATTGATTACGAGCAACTGGACACCTGCCAGACACCCTCACTCATTCATACAGTTAGGAAACTGAAGTTTTATTTATGACTAGGGAAAACAGAGGCCATGGACTTGGGAACACCAGGCAGAAGAGATAACAGGGACACCACACTGAAAATAATAAATTTAGCTAAGCATTTATCTACAGAGTGTTAAGAATCACAGCTGTCTTCTCCACTGGACTCAGAGAATCCTGCAATCTATTTCCTCCAGGAAGATTACTCAAAGAGTCATTTTAGGGACTATACCCAGACCAAAGTGAAAAACCTGAGAACAGTGAGACCAGAGATTATCTGAAGAAATAGTCTGGCTAGATCACCCTAGAAAGAGGGCACCGTTGATTCTTTTTTTATACTCACACAAGCTCTTGGTTCAGAAATGAGTAGACAATAATGGATTCACAACATGTTTCAGAAAGGCATCTAATTTAACAGACACAGAAACAGTAACACCCTGTAGGAAAGAGAGACTAGGTAAAGAGAAAAGATGGAAGAAGAATATACTAAAAGTCAGGCACACTTAGAAAAGAAAAAAAAGATATGTCTGGAAATTAAAATTGTAACGTAGAAATGAAATTCAAAATAAAAGTGTAAATAAAGGTAAAATCGAKGCATTGTCTCAGCAAATACCCCCAAAATGATAAAGAGATAGAAAATAGGAGAGATTTTAAAAAGTAGTCCAAGAATCTTACTTCTGAATAGTAAGTATCCCCCAGTATGAGAAAAATTTTACAAGTGGAAGGGAAATCCATCAAAGGAATATTCTTGGAATTACAGAGCATGAATTATCTAACTCAGGGTACTATGGAGAGACCAACAAAATGAATAAAAATAGACTATATTTATGAAGAAATTTTATATTACTAGGACCAAAGAAAAATCTTAAAGAACTCCAAAGTGAAAATATAGATTTCATAGTGGATATCTTTATTCAATAATTAAATAAAAATTGCCAAAAATAATTAATTTTTACACTTGAATTTTACATTATTGTCTAGATGTAGTGCTTGACAGCTGTTTAAAATGACCCATCTCTTTTTGGGGGAGGCATAGGGGAAATAYTGGGGAAT